AGGATACGCTTGCACTCATTACGAGCAGAGTCGAAGAGACGTTTTTGCAATCAGACGTGTTGCTCTGGTACAGTTGGAAGAGGTGATTCCTGTTGGCCATAGCGACCGAGGATGCAAGTGAGAACCAAGAAGATGAATGCGGTTTAACTTGGTATTTCTTGGCTGGAATGAAAGCAACGATGTCAGCTTTCAGCCAGCAGGAGACCTCAGACGCGCATTTATGAACAGGGATTCCAAGGGACGGCACGAAGGAAGTCCCGGAATCCGCTCGTGGATAACAGAAATATATTCTGTTGGTTGGTGGTTCTTGGCTGGTAGAGGAGCGAAAAGAAGTGTTTACAGATACTACCGCCTTATCAGAGTTGCCAAGAGGGCAGAGCTGCATATTACGAGTTCGAGATAGAGTGCACAGAATAAGCAACTAATACAATTTAATTTACCGATTCATACTTCATGATACCTTTGAAGTACCTATTCCTAAAACTAATATTACAATACAATGCTAAGGTAAGCGAAAACGTAATTCGACTGAAACGTTGGAAGTGGACCTATGTCGGAAAAATATCGAGTAAAGAAAGTGCATATCCAGAAAGTGGAGCTGTTGTGGAGATGAACACATCTCTTCAGAATATACTTGTCCAAATAGCATATATACTGAAACCGAGATTCGTCAGCAAAGCCAGCCGGCAGCGAGAGCCAGCCGTGTGCGAAGCTTTTGTCGAACTCTCTACTTTCGGGCAGAGAGGAACCCAAGTATAGAGTCTCGTATGGGGAGACAAACCCAACCTCGTGTATGCGGGGTCTACGGAGAATTTTGTTCGAGCCTACGGCTTAAGGGTCGGATTTGCCCCACATAAAATCCGCCTTGTGCCACATCCTGCCTTGTTGGGAGATTGGTAAATAACGCTAGCCGTCAGCGAGAGCTGGCCGCGCGCGAGGCACTTAGATCTTGTCGATCTGTCTCCCTTCAGGCAGAGAGGAACCCAGACACGGCTATGCCAAAGGGCAGAGTCTCGTATGGGGAGGTAGACAAACTTCACAACGTGTATGCGGGGTCTACGGGGAATTTTTGCTCGAGTTTACGAGCTCGGGTTTGCCCCACATAAAAATCGGCTTTGTGCCACATCCTGCCCTATGAGGAGGTTAATAAAGACCGATAGCCGTGAGCGAGCCTTACTACAGAATTCAGTATGACTACGTCGACTCCAAGGGATATTATATTTCATGATTGTGTTCTATTCATTCAATGGAATGAAGACATAGCACAAAGGAGTTTTTAACCTTTCTGTAGGGCCAATGGCATATCTAGCACAATGTGCTAGACTAAATTCCATAGCTGCGTATGCAACCATTGCGGTGATGACACGGCATCTTTGGGTGGAGGTCTTCCGAGACTGAAGTCAATGGCGGAGTATTCCCCAGATGGTTATGTATCTGTGACCAAGACGGGGCTTCAAGATAGAGAACATTGGCTCTAATTTGATTTAGAAAGGAACACTCTACACATAAATGAATACCACTCTGTCCTTCAGCGCATATAAGAAGGGGAAAGTGGTCATTTGTTCAGGAACCTTACTACCACAACCGGTAATGGGACTGACTGATGGTATTTTTTGTGGGGGCATAATTCACAGTGATAAATAAAATAAATCGACACAAAATTTCTGTTTTCTTTAATAATATTTGCGTTAAAGAATACACACACACATATATATATATATATATATATATATATATATATATATATATATATATATATATAAGTGAAGCCAACACCCAGAAGCTGATATTGAGCGAGCACTTTAACTCATAAATATAGCATACCTTAAAACTATATTTTATCATATATATATATATACACACACACACACACATATATATATATATAAATGCGTGCGTGCGTGTGCGTGTGTGTGCGTGTGTGTGTGTGTGCAATAATAATAATATAATAGCTGGCCACTCGTATTCGAGGATACACTTCCACTAGGGCGGTTAGTCAGTCCCTATTTCAGACGCTTGCTCAGGCACATTTGTCTTTATTCAATACCCACAGACCCACCCTGTGGTTTATACTGCAACTATGCTGAGCTGATCTCAGTTACAGTTTTTGGGAGAGAAGGGTGTTATCTAGCGTGATTAACAATCTGAACAAGGCCAGCACGCTCAAGCCCTCGGTCACGATGGCTGGTGACTTCGTGTAATCTATCGATGCCCAACAAGAGTAAGCTTGGGTAAACCCATGCTATGGTTATCAGGCACTTTCCAAAGGTGACGCATACTGGGATCGACCCTCCACACCGATAATATCAGGAAGTCTCCTTTTAACAAATCAACCATGGTGAGATTCAGACCCGGGTCTCATGGTCAGAAAGCGAGCGTTCTAACCATATATATATATATATATATATATATATATATATATATATATATATATATATATATATATATATATATATATATATTACATTAATTTTTTGCATTAATTAGAAATAGAAATATTCACAGTAGATATTCTAAAACACTATCGTTATGTACATGCATAGAATTCCTAATTAATGTGTATTCCTCTCCAGAAAAATGCATACACATATATATGCATACACCCATGTAAATTCATTCATCGCTAATTACATGCATGTATCTCTCTAATAACCGAAAACGATTTTTAGTCATTGCACACAGCATCTAATTTGATCTCGACTTACATCACTCTTCAAATACGCTATTATGGAAATTTGATCTATACAACACTGGACAACGAGGTTAATTGATCCACTTCCCATTGACCTGAGCCTTTGATGGTCTTCTAATATATTCTTCCACATTGTGCTTTAATTATCTTTCTCTTTCTAAATACATAAATACGGTCGCATGATCCTCTCTTTCTTGATCGCTGATATTTTCAGCGCAGATAATCAAGCTTTCGCTAACTTGATTTGAACGACATAGAATATCAAATAAGCGCTTTTAATATCAAGTATAAATTATTTGGTCTAGAAAAACACGTCAAATTTTCACGGTTTTCCGATTTGAATTTTCTAATGAATCTCTTAATTCTTCATTCAATGATTAAATAAGCTCATGGCTAGTTCATCGACAATAAAATATCCGTAGAAATTCCCCTATCGCATCATTAACTATTTGAGATTAAGAACTTTAACATAATATTCCAATAACAATGATAAATATGAATGCTTGTCCTTATTTTAAGAAGTAGGTACAAATCAAAAGATTTGAAATTGACAACTTTTTCCATTTCACTGAAGCAGACGCGAAACACTTCTATCTTTCCATCTTTCTTTCTTCCATTTACACATTTTCTCACTAAAACTAAGTAGCGTCTCTGATAATGTCTTTTGTTTTTCCACTCAATCAAAACAGAATAGTCCATTATTTATGAGATATTTACAAGAGACGTTAAACATTTCTTTCTTTTTTCTTTCTTTAACTCAGTGAAACCAAGTAGTGTTTCTCTTTCCACGCGATCAAAACAGAAAAAGGTCAATTATTTATGAGGTATTGGGAGGGTGTAACGGTCGTGCGCACTTATGAAGGAAGGGACAAACACAATTATAATAGGATCTTTTGTTTTTCCACGCAAACAAGACGGAATAGTCCATTATTTATGAAGTTTTGGCAGGAAGTAATGGTCGTACAAACTAAAGACGTGAGGGACAAGCTCAATGATTTTATGAAGCTTGCTGAAGAATAAACGTCTTTGAATATATAATTTCCACTTTAGAACAATAGTTAGAGAAGCGATTTCGCTTTTCTAATTAGAAGGCAGAAAAATTCTGACGTTGCATATCCAAGCATCGTATTGGCTAGACGCATTATCGTAAATCCGAAAATCGACTAACAATTTAACCCTTTTCTCAATTGTATCACTGAAAGAACACAATTAAGCTCTCTCTCAGTTTTTCACTGACCGAACAATGAAACCCTTCACAAAATTCGGGAAAGGCCCGCTGCACGCTCACAAGGAAACCAAAGGTGAAAATAAAGGCCATGTCGAGAAACTCAAACTCTGTTTTCGAATATATTTCGTTGTTCATTTCAGGGATTCTCTTGCACGGTCTGTTGGTAGGTGTAGGGCTAGGTAGGTATGTGATACTTGGAGACAACTTTTATCACTTCTGCTATGTCAGACTAACAGATCAGCTTTTTCCTTCAACCAACTAGAATTCTGACTCTCCTACCAACTCTCAGCCCATCTTAACACGCAGCTGGCAGCTCTAACGGGCGGCATCAGAAGTACATCGACGACCTGCCTGGTCCCTCCAACTGGCGTCTTGTAACTCCTTTCACTTCGAAATGACACTGTTTATGCAAGGTTGAGACAGGAAGTCTCTAAAGTTAGATTCCAATTCACAGATTTTATCGCTGGTCAGAAAAACACTTAAGACTGAGATAAAATAATTTGTCCTCCTCTTCTATGTGGGTGTCGTACACAAGGAATTCTACAGCAAACGGAGGAGTGTAACAGAATCACTACAGACTGTGATTCACTGGGCATATTTAGAGGATGAAAGAAGAGCTGTTTAATACTGTTGTGCGAACCTAAGTATGTAAACCGTAAGTGAGGAAGACTAAAAGAAACCTATGTGGGTCAACTCAGAAAAGATGTTGCTTTAAGGACTGAAGAACTAATGAAGATAATGGGAGATAGAAGAATGTAAGAAACTTGCCAGCGTTGTTGGAGTTCGCTCGAAATAGATAAAGAAAATTCGCGATTATTATTTTTAATAAGGGAATTATATTCTTTATCATGATAAATACGACGTATTTAAACCCAAATTCAAGGATACGATCCCTAATGAAGAACTGGCGAGGCTTTTTATTGTAGTATTTAAAACAAGTAAAAACGAAAATCAAATTTTCCAAGAAATTAAAACTGTCCTTTTCTCAAGACCACCATTTCGATCTCACGAAATCTAGGAAGACTAGTTGTAAGGGTTTATGTCGTGTGCAAAGTAAAGAGGACTTGATACTGTAAGGCATACAGCCACATCAGGTTGAAATTCCGGTTCCTGTACGATCAGTGAAATTAAGCAACGTTGAGCCTGGCCAGTATCTCGATGGGTGACCGCTTGGGAATACCAGGTGCTGTCAGCTTGGATGTGCTGGTTGTATAATGGGTAATGGCTGATAAGAAATCTGAGTTCCAATTCCCGTTGGGTTCGTTATTTCCACTTACTCAAATATCTTTGAGAAAAGGATGAATCCACTTCTTCTCCCTTCAGCTATGGGTTAATTAGTAAGACTTGTATTATTAAACAATTATTATCTCAAAAAAAAATTCTTACAACCTAAAAATATTTTAATGGCTTTAAATAATCTGTAAAGTGTTGATAAGCCGTAGAAAACGAATCAATATATACTGTAATATTATTTATTGTACTGAATGATGAAAACACGAAACGAAATCTCTTACCTACATACACACACACACACACAAACACACACACATTTATTACTTCAAATGTTCTTATAACGGATTCTTGTATTTGAAATAGACTCCCCGTTTTTTTTCTTATTTTAAACAGTGTGTATGACGTCTACCGGCCTGCGCATCCGAACAATCTTAATAAAGAAGACGTGTTCTTCGGCAGGGATCGAGCCTTCATCCCTCTTTGTAGGAGACACCACCGCTTGATCCGGTTTGCTTTAACACTCGGCTTCCTCATTTGAAGTAATGGAAATGTCGGATTAAAAAATAAATCCATTGGTTCTTTAGAAATTGCTTTGTTTACATTTCGGAATCGAAACTTAACAGATATGGACTTTCGAGAAAAAAAATCTGAATGAGGAAGCGTGTTTTCCTTTAAACAGAATAACAGAGCTTTGCCGGATCAAACGGTGGTTTCTCCTACAAAGGGGAACGCAGATTTGATCTCTGCCGAAGAGCTTATAATCTTTATTAAGATCTTTGGAATACACCGGTCAATAGACCTAATACACATTGTTTAAAATAAAAAAAAAAAAAAAAAAAAAAAAAAAAACGGAGCGTTTATTTAAAATACGATTATCCACTATAATAACCTTTGAGGTAATCCAAAAGTTAGGATTAAAATAAAACTATTAATTTTTTAGAAAACACACACACACACACACACACACACACACACACACACACACACACACACACACACACACATGTATACAGTATATTTTATTCAACACCATATTTGACAATTAACGTCGTTCAGACGCAGTTGGGACGATCACGTTAATTTAAACTCAACGGTCAGGAGTCCGTTGCCCAGGTCAAACCTAGATCCTCTGATGGGCAACGAGTGCAAAGTCATGATCAAGGATGAGACAAAATAGCACACACTCATCTTGGAGGGAAACAGTTGAGCGAACTTGAAGGGGTTTTGATCCGAAACTCAATCATTTTTACAAAATACACTATTTTATTAAACTGGAAATGGAAGATGATGAAAGAAACTTTATTGCCGACCATTTTTTACTGATTCATAAGAGGTGACTTATTTGTGCTTGTCTGGGCGTTTGTCCAAAGTGAATTGATCCAACACTGAATTACTAGTTTCAACAAAACTGAGGATTATCGTCTCAATTCAATGCATGCTGACATAATTTTATCTCAGAATTTTAGATGCGGATGTTATTTTGGTTTATATACTAACTCTACAGAAAGTGTAGGCTACACCAAATGGCAAATCCTAACATACTGATTAAAGCTCTGACGACCCAAACTCGAATTGAGGTAATTTGAACCCCGTAGGCTGGAAATTCTGACATGAATTATCTGTTTCAGTTTTAATATAGGGTGACCCCAAAAAACGGGGATTTTTGAAGTGCGTATTGCCAGACATGAGCAATTGGCAACACTGCAAGACAGTGACCTTCAGCAAGTAAACATTTCGCCATTTAGAATTCAAGATGAAATTCACAGTATCCCAGCTGAGATATTGCAGCAGTCAATGAGGAATCTCAACAGCAGATTTCAAGAATGCATTCATACAGGAGGACGCCATTATACAGGACGTAATTTAAAAAAAATAAAAATTCCATCATTGTTTCTTAAATGACATAGTTTAAGGTTTCAATTACTATGAATAAAATATTTTTCTTCCATCACTCCATATATATATATATATATATATATATATATATATATATATATATATATATAAAGACACAAACGAAACAAAAAAAAACAAAAAAATCGCAAAGACGGTGAGTGCAGTTGCAAGAATAGAAGAGTGACGATTCCTCGGCGTACCATCAAGTCGTTGGCCGACCTGTTCGGGTAGGAGTTCTCTATCTTCTGCTTCCTCTCGCTTCCTCCAAGAAACGTTGCTTCTACTACGGTTACTGAAATAAAACGAGGAGATAAAATCTAAAGAAAATTGTCCATCGTTCATTCAGTCTGCGATGCAGCGCTGGTGCCTGAACAACTGCCGATCGGTCACGAGAAGCTAGAAACGACACGCAACGCAATCTTAAAGAGGACTACAAGGTTAAGCGTGTCTAAATGTGCGTGAGGAGATTCCATTCTCTTCTAACTATAGATCCAGACTTTGATATAAAATTGACATTGTTTAATATGTTTCATTGAAGCTAGACGAGAACCAGACTTTTCCAGAAACTATCCTACATATCTGAGTCTACCATCCATACTTAGAATATTTCTGCTACATATGGTCCGGTGCCACTGCTATTTACCTTGAGTTCCTTCATAAAAACCAAAGAAGATTGCTGGTCCTAATCTGGCGGCTCGGGTTCAGTGACTTTCCCACCGTTGTAACGTTGCTTATCATTGCTTTTTCTATAAACACTTTCATGGTAACTTCGCTATGTTATATTTTTAATTTAAGCGCAGTACTAGACCAGCGTCGAGATCTCATCAATTCACAGTTGACCTAGATATATGTAGCCTTAAATTCTATGCTAACAGTTTATTTTCTACCTTGTGGAACTTCCTTCTGGTTCCATGCTTCCCAGCCAACTTTAATCTGAAAAACATAAATGCAATGTCAATAACACCCTCTAATCCTTTGTGTCATAGAACTTTTACTGCCTTGCATGTTTTAATCCTTTCTTCGCTCGCTTTTCCAATCATTTGACTATTATTTTAATGAGATGTACCTTCATTATATAGCAATCATGTCACTCCACAAATCTCTTTTCTTCACTATCTGTGAATTACCAAGATATCTTCCAAAAGACAGGGAAGTGGTTTCCCGTTTTCTTCTCTATGATTTGAAATGAAGAGTTTCCTTCTATTTTAAAATCAAGATGCCAATCAAGACGAGAGAGAGAGAGAGAGAGAGAGAGAGAGAGAGAGAGAGAGAGAGAGAGTCCAGTCTACCCTGCTATTTATGCTATAGCTGGAAGAAGAGATGACCTTTGCCAATGGTATTTATTCGAAATTGAACGGAATAATTTTGGAACAATACGCAACTAAACTCTGTAAAGTTATATCTCATTGTTATTTCAGATTTGCCGTTCTACAATTTAAAGACTCGACCTCTTTTATTCTGTTTCGATTCTCTGAACATTTAGCTAATCCCTGAATTGACTCATCGCTTCTTAATGATTTTTGTATATCCAAAAATAAGTCAAAACACGACCGAACGAAGCAAATGTTGGCAATAATCACGTGTTTCTTTCTCATTTTTCACATCAATTTTCATAGCTCTTTTATTTTTACTTTCACTTTGATCTACTTTCACTTTCGTTTTCAGATTTTTCATGGTCTTTCCAAATTTACAGAAATGACCTGAGATAAAACAAATTGTTGTAGAGATACAGCAAATCAAATAAAGTTTAAGAAAAAATAATTGTGGGCGAATCAACTCATTGTGCATAATAGTGACATCAAAGACAATCCCTATTCCATCTCCGTGGTGCTTGCAGCAGAGCGGAGCCTCAGGTCGGACTCTGAACTCACTGCCCAGACATGAAAATCTAAATCTTTCAAGGGCTTGGTGAGCCAAGCGTGAAATCTAGTTATCAGGATAGTCTAGTCAGGAGTTTTATTGGATTTGGGAGGGGTAAGACTTTCTTGTTTATTGAGGCTAGTCTATTTATGAGGGTCGGTGAGATAAACATAGACATCGTGTCGATGCAAGGAAAGTGATCAAGTTAAATGGAACGATGAGCTAACATGAAATGGGATGGCCCAGAATCTATATCCAAAAAAGCCAAGAGAATAGGTCATCATTGTTTTCATTCTGGTCGACAAATATTGACCAGGAATAAATTCAGTTTGAATTTATTGTCTGAATATTCTTCGCCTGATCTCGTTTTTCTACTTAGTCAGTCAGTCTATTACACGGCGCAAATTTAGAAGAATAGTTATTTGCATAGGGGATTCTATTAGGGTGAGTTACAAATAATTTCTTTTTTTGCTGATCAGTTTTATTCTTCAAAAATAAAGTACAATAACATTTTACACAATTATATATTCGCCATTATTTGCAATACGCTATTGCCCCTTATCAAGCAGCTGCACTTTGATTAAAATTCCGCATGTTTTTATGTGAAAAAGTTATAGTGATCTCACGTTCACGAGAAATAAAAGAATCCTAATTTTCCATGATTCCCTAGTAAAAAAAGGAAACCGCCCTATTGGCGGGAAATTTAAAGTCATTCACTTTTTCATTGACCTCTCGACCTAAAAATAATTGTTCACTTAATAATAAATGTTTAACTTATAATATAATATATAAAGCAATTGTATCAAATAATAGCAACACAGAAGTAAAGATTTACATAGGAGCAATCGAAACCGAAAGATTTAATAATCATATGATGCTATTTACAATAGATAAATACTCAAATAGCATAACTTCAAAATATATATGGAGTCAAAAACAAAATAATATACCTACTATAGTTAAATGGGAAATTATAAAACAAAGTATCCCCATATTATATTACCTATGGGAACTGTGTTTAGAGGAAAAATTATCAATATTAACTTTTAATAATCTAATTAAATTATTACATAAGAAGAATGAAATAATGGATCGATGCCGATATTTAACAAATATTTACTTTGTTATTTTAATAATAATATAACAATAAATCAATTAAAATATTGACTGAAAATTTTAACTAAAATATTATAATTCAATTAAT